CTGCCCCTTTGGGGTGTAAAAATTAGGCAGACACCAGTACAATCTACACACCCCTTGACTTCAGTTTCCTTAGATTCACTTTCACTCATATTCTGCCTGACAGGTTACCCCAGTCTCAGACAGAATGGGCCCAGTTACTAGAATCCCAGCAGAAGTACCACGACTCCGAGCTCCAGAAATGGCGCGAGATCATCAAATCCTCCGTGATGCTTCTAGACCAGGTGAGCTCATGTGGCTGGTTAGTGCTGTGACTAGAGGGTCCCCCTGTCCTCCCAGCCACCCACTCACACTCCTTCAGCCTTACCTGGTTCCACTGCAGTCTACCAGGTGTGTCACCTCTGCTGCTGCCAGATCCCTCCTCTGATGCAGTGGTGGGCAGCAGATCCCAAGGGCTGCTTGCAGGCTGCAGCTTCTCTGTCACCTCAAAGGGCTCCACACACATCAAGGAGAGAAACCTACAGGCCAAACCCTTGTATTAGCACACCTTCTATCTAGTCTCTGACATCTCAGTTTGGAAAGCAAACTGTTTTACCTTCACCCTCATTTCATAAGAGCTGGTGTGGATGAAGGGCACACGCTTTGTGTGAGCCCTGAGGAGCACAAATCCAGGGGCTCCTGCTGCCTAAAGAGCTGGTTGTACACCAGGCTGCTCAGAACAGAGGTTATATGTGAAAGCTGTTCTCCCCTAAGGCGAGGGCTGTTCACCCTCTACCTCCTCCTGCTCAGCCCTTCTCTGTTACCTTGGAGAATGGTCTCACAGGCTCCCATCTTCTCAGTCCCCACTTGTACATCCCAGCCCTGACGAGCTGCTCCTGAAAGACAGATAATTGTGGTACCCATGCTTTACATGAAGGAGAAAGCACTGGTGGGGAAGGAAACTCCTGAAGCGCTGTCACCTGTAGGGTAGTGTCACAGTGGAGACATTTCTTGTCTTGCAGATGAAGGATTCACTAATAAATCTTCAGAATGGCATCGGGTCTCGGGACTTCGGGTCAGATCCAGAGGAGAAACGGAAACGTTTCCACTGACAGGCAGGAAT